TAATTACCGCATATTCCACTTACGCTCGACGTGACTCGACACACTCTCGAACGCGATGCGAGATATATATATATATATATATATATATAATAAAATATATATACATATATATTTCATTATATATATATATATATAATAATAAAAAGTAAAGAAGAATAAAGCGAGGAAAATGTTTAGTCGCTCATGTTATTAAGAGGTCTGGGAAAATTGGCGAGCGGGATCCGTGGTAGAAGAAGACTCCCTCGTTATCGAGAATTTTTCTTGGTTCGCAGAGGCAATTCACGCTGATACTGCAAGCGAGAGATGAGGCGAGCACAGGCGTGATCGAGGAAGCGAGTTTCAGCGGCATTGTCCTGCCAGGGCCCACGTGGCACACTCTCAATCATGAAGGAAGAAACGCTCATCTAGCTTATCGCGTTCGGGTCCAGTGCGCGGACCATTATTACAACGCGACCTGCACGAAGTTCTGCAGGCCGAGGAACGATATATTCGGCCATTACACCTGCGACGAGAACGGCGATAAGGTGTGCATACAGGGATGGAAAGGCGCCGATTGTGAAATAGGTGAGTCGATCTTTACATTTCGTTTCAATCTCACTAACACTGTGTTGTAAAATAACGATCGACACTTGTAAAAAATACCTTACTCCGTCTTAAAACTGTCGATTCAGCGTCGAAATCACTGGGAACGTTTTTTCCAACGATTAGTGGAGCAACGGAGAGCTGATATTGGCTCACTTCACATTCGTAACACTTTCGAATCTTGCAAATTTAATTTTAACAACTCCACTGTTGTTTGCGTCTTCTTTTTAACTTTAACTAACCAGTCGTCAAGCAACTAAAACTTGAGGCCTAAATGGACCCTTGGACGTTTCGAATTCGCTTCGATTCGCGAGGAAGGAGCGATTACCGTTCGTAACTGTTTTGCAACAGGCGTTTCAAGATTCCCATAAATGTCCACGTACGAGAATTTTACCGAGAGAGAACGAATGTCCGGAAGATTTTCGCTTTCCCTTGACGGTTTGACAAGCACGCTGGGAAACGTGCGTACGATACCACGTTGTATGGCATGTTGGATAAGCATTTATAGCCTTATAGTAAGAAGCGTAATTGTTTTTCGGTTTTCGAATACATCGCGCGTCGAAACGGTCAGTTTCTCGGCTGTATTTATTGCAAAGAGGCAGCGAAGCGTACGTGTCTAATTAATCAAATGTACTGACACTCGAGGAAGCCGAAGAGAAAAGCTGCTTAGCTCAGAGTCACATCGGTATCTTCGATTCGAACGGTTGTGTCCGACTTAAAGAATCGTTCTTTACCCGTTAGAAATAATTATTACCCGAGGAATTAGGATCTAAAGTCTAATCGAACGCAGCTTTCCAACAGAAGAAAAAAAAAAATCTCTTTGTTAAAAGAGAATTATAATTTACTAATGCGACGATGATTCGTTCAGCCGTGTTTACGTTAGGTGAGACTTTTTACTGGCCGATCCGAGAAAAAATATAACTGTCATCGCACGTGACGTAATTATCAACATTCATTGATATTCCTGAGAACAAGAAATCTCGAGAATAATTTTCAATTGATTAGTAATCTCCTCTTATTGGAGACTCTGTCGGAAGTCTGTTTTTGCCGAGTCTGTAGATCTATCTAGAACAACAAATTTTAAAGTGTCAAAGCTGATTCAAATAACCCACACTTAATCAAAAAAAAAAAATCATTTTCTAAATCCTTCATCCTGAATATCTTTTAATTGTGTTGAAATTTCAAGTTAAATTACTTGGCCGTCGAATCAGCATGGAGCTAACTCCTCAGCCGGCAGAAGGCAGCGGTCCGTGAGAAAAGCGAGTCGCGCCTGCAGACGCGAGATTTCACGCTTCGAGGATCGATTAATTATTCTCTTAGCCAGACATGGCGGGCAAAAAACATCGAGGGAATCGTTTAACCGCCAATATCCTGGCGAAGGCTTTGCGCGACGCTTCGCTGCATACGTAACGAGATCACAGCGACACGTTTTTCTGCCAGCGCGCTGATTTTTCTACAAGCGTAATCTACTTTTTCGTCTCTTCCTCGTTCACTCGATCGTGTGTCGTTCCGCTCGACTAGCGCCGACACGTTCGCCTCCTTTGTCTGGTTTTAATGCTTCCGGTAATGAAGATTGTTCGATAATTTAACGAACCGTAGTCACGAAAATACATTGTTTTATCGACGATGGAAGAAAAAAACCACTTAATTATTCCACTTAATTGTTCGATCGGCCTCGTTTTATCCATGATTTATCGCTCTCCGATTTTACACGAACGAAACAAATTATTCGTCGATTGTATTTCGCGAACGCAGCATCTCGCTGTTGATCAGTCGTAATAAAGAAAGAAAGAAAAGAACCTGCCTGTCAAGAAATATTCGTTTCGTTCTCTGAATGCTCGTTAGTAGACATATCCTAACAGAGAGATTAAACGAAACTTTCTCATCGACTGTTGTTTTAAAATCCAAAGGGGAAGGAAAGGAAGCCTTGAAGATCGACGACGAAAAGTCGAATAGAAGTTCGGCGAATTTCAGCTCTGATTGAAAGAGCGTCGAGCTGCCAGAAGCGAGAAGCTCGCTGCACGTGGAGCTTTTTGCCGTGACGGAAAGCGCGAGTCTCGCAAGTCACACACGCGGCACAGCGAAACACACACGAATTATCTCGAAGCGTGCCTCAATGGGCGGACGTTAGACGCATGTCGTACGATCGTATAAAGGTAGCGGGCAGCATCACGCCAGATCCCCTCGCACAATGCTGTCCCGGCTAATACGCCAGCTCTTTCTTCGCTGCTTAATCGTTACTTCCGCCTCCCCGTGTGTGCCGGCTATCCCTCCCTCGAGACCGTCGTTTTCGAAAGGCACCGGCTATGCGAACGCTTCAAATCATCCTCGAATACCCGTCGCATTGTTCGAGAACGAGCACGGCGACCTAATGATCCCTGAAAGTCATCAACACCTCACGAAATGACATCAGACAGTGAAAATTGGATTCTTTCTGTTCATTAATCATCTGCAAGGATTTTTCAATTTATATTTCGTGTATTACCATTCGATATATCGATCAATTTACAATTTTGCAGATTTGAAGTTCCCGTATCCTAACAAGAATCGATAGAATATCGTTGTAACTTGGAAAATCCTCTATCATTGAAATCATACTCTCGTTATTCGCGATTCTTGTGAAAATCCAGTTCTCTCTGTGATCTTACTCTACTTTTAGTCGCGATTGTCCTTCGACTTAAGAATTCTCAATGGGTCTGTTTATTCCTTATAACATTAACTGTGTCCGAGAATGCTACATTTTACATTTTTTATTTCTCATTTCGCATGCAAATGTCGCACGTACTTGATCAATTATACACACACACACACACACACACACACACATATATATATATATACATCGAGACTGACTATATCCATCTTCGTCCAAGATAGACAGCAAAAGGATTTTCTTTTAAAAGGCCGAGATATACGCGAATAGTTGAAAACGATTCCAGAGAAAGTAGGACAAAACGAGCTATTAAACTTTTCTGCGGTATAGTAATTAGCAACCGCGATGATATCGTGTGAAATCGAACTGTCCCGGCTTCTGCGGTGTTCATTTCATCTGCGGGCGACAGGAACTGTGGCAAAATTGTGTGCGCATTGAGATTCAGAGGATCTGCTGTGAATTCCCCGTTTCAAATTTAATAGAATACGGTGGCTGCCTCGGGAACGCGGCCAGTTTCCCTTGACACTGTGAACTTTAAGATTTTCTCGTTTGCTTAACCCGTCTGGTTAATGCTGGCTCTATCGATGAAATTATGGGCATTCGACTTCGTTAACCTCGGAGTGCACGGTAAAATATTCACGTAATTAAGCACGATTTTCCACGGTTGTAACAGAAATTGCCAAACTAATTTAGAGGCCGGGAATGGATGAATTTTTGCAGTCGACTGAGAACAATACTCGGGTTAGAAGGTAGGATATAATTAGAATAATTTATTCGATCCTCTCGATTTCTTCAACCTAATACAACATAATACACCATGTGTGATACAAATCTCCAAGATGGCTTAATTTGCTCGATGGTCAAACCTTTATAGTCGGAACACTTTCATTAAACTAGACAGAAAGCTTTGCTTAAAAAAAAATCTAAGAATCCTAGATCGCAGTTTACAAATATTTTAAGTACACCTACTTGAATTCAACCGTTAGACCTTTTTTATTTTGATAGAAATAACGAGGTGTTTGTATAATTTCCAAGAAAGTTAACAAATCTATGAAATCTATCGAGCCTATCAAAAAAAATAACAACAGTCTGTAACAATAAATATTCGCAGAGAGACGAAACGAATCGGATGGCATCCTCTTGACACCGAATTATTCTGGTGGCAGCAGTTTAACGATCCAGGAGAATCATTATTATCGGCAATCACAATTAGACACGTTCCACTTTCGTCGAACATAAGGGAAAAAAGGAAAGAACAAACGATCCCAATTAGGGACTATCGGTGGAAATCGTGTACTCGTGAGACGACCGAGGCGGTCGATCGGTTACGACGAGAGACCAGAGGAAACACACATACACACAAAGAGAGAAAGAGAGAGAGAGAGAGAGAGAGAGAGAGAGAGAGAAGGAGAGGGAGAGAACTGGCTCCAGCATTTTTGTCACGCTGTGAAAGGTCAATACGAGAATTTCACTCGTGCATCGTCTTCACACGAGCCGTATGCATCGACCGCATCATGCAACACACCGTTCTTCAACCGAGAGCGTACTTCGTACACTCGAACGTTCGCGCAAACGTTCGTTTGCATTTGACCCCTTTTCACCGCGACCGTAAAATCCTTCCACCGCTGCTCCTTCACGAAGATCAGAGACATTCATAGAAAGACTGCTTAAGACATCGAAATAACACGAACACCGCCAACGTAAAATCAAACGCGCTTCCAAAGTGAATAATAATCACTTTCGCGGGGTCTTTGCTTCGTTAATTTTGCCTCGTTAAGTAGAAGAGGTTCGATCAACGAACGTTGTAATTTATTACGTTACTACGTTATCTACTCGGTCAATGGAGATTCGAAAGTCGGCTAGTTGTAGAAAGTTGGAT